CTCCTTGATCTTGTCCATCAGGGTCTGAACAACTCCTTCGTATTCTTGCATCTGACTGCGATAGTACATCTGCTGCGCAAGGTTAGATGCTTCGAGCTGTTGCGAAATCGTCAGTTCCTGATAGGCATTCGGACCATCGGCTATGGCTGGCGTGGTCACCGATGATGCATCACCACGTGCTGGGATAGTGTCCAGAGTCATATCCAGATCGTCAGCATCACGTGGTTGATTGGTAACCATCCGATTCCAAGTCATGGATTTGTCACGCCCACGAGTAGCCGAAGTCCTCGATCGTGCTGAAGAGCTTCTCGAAGATGATGGTCTTGACTTCTTTTCCAAGGTCTTGACTCCTTTGTCCTTGGCCCTGGACGTAGTCCGAGGTGCCTGAAAACCAGACGCTTCGGCCCGTCGTTCTGAAGCCTTGCCCGTCCTCGAACCTGTGGATGTCGGACGCGAAGGCGTAGATGCTCTTGGTAGACTCTTTGCTTTCCCCTTGGGAACTGCCTTTGCAATGGCAAGCGCAGAAGATTGACCTTTGTCATCTTCCGTGGAGCTATCAACGGATTGCACCACTGTGTCATCAGCTGTTGACTCACCAACGGCTGGCGCTGCCACATCGGCACCGAAAGTCATTGTCGTATCTTGGCTTGATCCTGAGTTCATTGTGGTCGTAGTAGATCAAGTAGTCGTTGCTGTAGAAAGGCAGAGCCGCGTACGGCTGATAACCTGCGTGGGGGATTGATCTCGACTTGGTTGCTGCTCTCCCCACCAGAGCTGTAATGAATGTAGGTGTGGCTGGCTTGCACTCTCCACAGACTGGACCCTGTCTCTCCCTCTTACTTCCACACGTGCAATCCTATGCAGGCAGAACCGGCGGCCGTTCCTTTTGCACTCACTGCCGGCGGCGGTTCGTCTGTGCAACGGGATAGCTCTGATTGCTCAGGATAGAAGACACATATAGCACTTAGCTATGGGCATTGACTTGAGCCAAACGTTGCGTTGGCGGTCACATAGAAAGGTAAAGATGAGGGATGCGTAGCATGCCCCCTTAGAGTCGAGGGACGCGTAGCGTGCCCCCTTCTCTTGCACTTTACACGGTCTTGCTCACAGCTCTTATAGTGACACCTTAGAACTTGACAAGGCATCGCAGTCCGTTCGCTACTACTACTACTACTACTACTACTACTACTACTACTACTACTACTACTACTACTACTACTACTACTACTACTACTACTACTACTACTACTACTACTACTACTACTACTACTACTACTACTACTACTACTACTACTACTACTACTACTACTACTACTACTACTACTACTACTACTACTACTACTACTACTACTACTACTACTACTACTACTACTACTACTACTACTACTACTACTACTACTACTACTACTACTACTACTATTACTACTACTACTACTACTACTACTACTACTACTACTACTACTACTACTACTACTACTACTACTACTACTACTACTACTACTACTACTACTACTACTACTACTACTACTACTACTACTACTACTACTACTACTACTACTACTACTACTACTACTACTACTACTACTACTACTACTACTACTACTACGACTCCTACTACGACTCCTACTACGACTACTACGACTCCTACTACTACTACTACTACTACTACTACTACTACTACTACTACTACTACTACTACTACTACTACTACTACTACTACTACTACTACTACTACTTCTTTACCAGTATATTACTATACCGCTATACTATCATACTGATATACCACTATACTACTATATTCTACTACACTACTATACTACATTTTTTGCTCCTATGCTACTATAACACTTTACTCCCATACCACTAGACTATTATACCACGTACTATCTTACTATACTACTATCCTACTATACCATGCACTATACTACTATATTACTATACTACTCTACTACTTTACGAATATAGTATAGTTTCCAAACCTGATCCCTTCATCCCCCAGCCCCTAAAACCCTGCAAACCCTAAGCCCTTCAGTCCTGTACTAGCAAACCCAAGAGGCCCCGCACGCTTAAACCCGAAACCCTTTGAACTCCTAAGCCCCTAAACCCGTGAAACTCCTAGACCACGATGCCCTTAAAACCCCGAATCTCCCAAACGCTTAAAACCCCTAAACCCTAAACCCCCTCGAAACGAAAACTCCTAAAGCCAAAACCCTCAAAACCCTCAAAGGCCTTGAACTCTTAAACCCTTGCTGTTCGAGAACCTAACGCCAAAAACCCTTAAAGCCCGTGCATCCTTAAGGCTTGCAACTTTAAAAGTTATTCCAACCTCTTAAAACCCTTAAGATTTTAAAGGCCCTAAAAACCCTTTTGTTTGCAGGCTGCATCAAGAGCATCGTGGTGTGCATCAAGAACATCGATGTGTACCAGTGCCCATGGATCCAGAGGGAGAGAGGGAGGATTCAGGGGCTTTTCTGCAAAAAGGTAGGGCGGGAGGGAAACACGCAGCGAGGGGCGGATAGAAGCATCAGAGCCGATTTGCAGGATTTTGTCGCTCAAACTTTTAGTCACTTTTGCCACAGCCTGCAGCCATGGCGAACAAAAGCCATTGCAAGGAGGCCGGAGCACTCCCTGACACCGAGAAGAATGAGAAGAAAGAGAAACGGTATCCTATCCCGATGGTGATGGTCTATTTGGATTGGCTGAATGCCAACAAAGAGAGGCTGGAGAAGGAAGCGGAAGAGGCCGAGAAGAAGAAGAAGGAGGATGCCGGAAGCGACAGCAGTTATGAGACCGACAGCGATACCACTCTGGTCTTGGGACAATCGCCGAAAAGGCGGAGGATCTCGAGAAGATAGATCTAGCTAGGCTGCAAGGACAGCCAATTTTGATCGCCAGAGGATCCAGCTGCAAGTGCCCAAAATGTGAACTTGCATCCTAGGCTGCCATTCTTAGGAAAAATGCTCCCCTGAACTCTGCTCGATCGCAGCAGTCTTGGTTCAAACCGCCCGTGAACGTCGCCGGTCCTTTTCCCCTGAGACAGCAGTAGAAGATGCTGTCTTTCTTGTCGTTCATGGTCGTGAACACGTGCCTCGCGATGGGGGCAGTGGCCTGTGGTGTGGCGAAGCCCAAAGGGAAGGCCAAGGCGAAGGCCCACGTCAAGATCGAGAAACCCTCGCCGAAGCAGCGAAGAAGGATGAGTTCCAAGCAGTCGCAGGCGACTGCTGATCCTGGTGATGCTCCTGAAGGCACGGCAGGCACGGAAGGGGCCTTGGCAGTGAGCAAAGCCGACGTGTCCAACTTCTTGGGCCGGATGAAAGCTGCCGATGGTGGTCCCCAGAAGGACTTGCTGAACTTCTACCAGCTCTTGCCAAGGTACGACTCCCGCAAGCAGGAGATCGTGCAGAAGTGGAAGCTGGACCGCTCCTGTTCCTGGGCCCAGAACTACACGGAGCAGGAGTCGAAGAAGACGAAGTGCTCTCGCCAGTCCACCGTCGGCTGGCTGACTCGCTGGGAAGTCGCCGACAGCTTGAAGATGGATGTCGACAGCGAGCTTTTCAAAGAAATGCTTGCCGAGCTCGAGTCCAGCGAGGACCAGTGGGACCTGAAGAGTCCGCAAGAGGCCTTCCTGTCGAAGAAGGGCGAGAAAAAGTACTGGTTCGAAGGCAGGACAGGCGGCCAGCGGATCACCGACACTCTGGAGAGATCCGAAGTCATGGAGAAGAAGACCTCCAGAAACGTGAAGGAGAGCATGGATGGCGACAGCAAGTCCCTGAGCCTCAAGGACAAGGTGAAGGTGGCAATCTCCGACCTCCAGAACCTCAACCGCTGCTCGCTTAATCAGTTCCGGTTTTTCTTGGCCGTTTTCAATATTAAGCAAGTTTTTGTTTTCTTGTTTCTCCATGCACATGGACCCAGGAGCTGTTAGCAGCTCGGCCGAGAAAATGGCAGATTTGCTGCCTCTGCTAGAGGCAAAGGCGCCTGGCCACGAAGCCTTGGAGGGTTTGAAGAACGCCATGACTATGGCCAAGGATGCACTCGCCGAGTCCCGAGTGAAGACCGGGATGTGGGCATCCGTTGAGGGCACTGAAGAGATCCTCAAGGAGGCCGGTGACTTGGCCTCGACGATGAAGGAACACAAGGCAGGATCCCAACTGGGAGCCAAGAAGCTGCAAGGGATTCTCGAGAGCTTGACTGCCTAGATCGGCCACGGTGCTAGATCGACTTCAGGGCCCAAGAAGTGCCAGGGACTCTCGGCCCCCTAGATCGGCCACTGTGCTAGATCGACTGCGAGTTTTGACAGTTTTGGTGCGAAAAGAGCCAGCTGCACGCCGTGACCTTGTGCATTATGTTTTGCTTTTGGGTTTGTCGTGCAGGTACCTTAGCTCGCCCAGACTGGCTGCAGCCGTGCGGCTGTCGCAAAACAATGTGCTGCCAGCTTTAGATGCACCATGTCGCTGAGCCTGCTTGCGAGTGATGCTAGGTTTGGAAGGCTTTGGAAGGCTCAAGCATTGCAATGTTTCATAACAAGCAGCGAGGCAAGCCGGGGGCTATCGCATCCCCTACCAAAAGGCTTCGCAACAGGGCGCACAACCTTTTCCTGTCTTCCAGCTTGAGTGCGATCGAGGCTACAGGTCTCGAGACCGATGCTGCAGCATGCGGCGTCAGCGGCTTCAAGACGGTTCCTGAAAAATCGGGCAAGAATGCTGCTCGAGATTTGTTACGACGATGTCTTAAGAAAAGCCAGTGGCCACCCATATACACTGCCGAAATTCGCATTTGGGACGAGAAGCACGAGGTCGCCCGATATGCAGATGTGGGCTTTATGCTCCCCCATGAGATTACGTACGTTTTGTTTCAAAAGAACCCGGGTTATCCTTTCCATGATTTGGCATGCTGTGCACAATCTGTGCAAGACCACTGCCTGGAGGCATCCCGCAAACTCGGGTTTCAGGTCATTCCTTTCTCGCTTTGGACTGAGCAAGTCCCTCGAAGTCATCCTGATGAGTTTGCCTCAGCTTCCTGCCCCGCATCACACTTGGAGGTTTCCCGTGACTGCTTTGCCTAAGAACAATATATCCAAGGGCGAGAGCTTCGAAGACATATGGGATATTATGGCCTGGTCCAGCCAGCAGCTTTTGTTGGGAACCATGCCTAGGCATGGCCACGACGGCCAACCTTTCGCAGAGGCATGGCGGAATAAGCACGCCGGCCGTGAGATCGCACATAGATGCATCCTTGCAGAGCTCCGGGCCGATTGGAAATGCTTGGCTGAAGTTTTTGGCCTGCCGCACTGGGGAGCCAAGACTGGCATCTGCATGAGATGCAGTGCCGATTTGACGAATTACAAGGATTTCTCTGAAAATGCACCCTGGATGCTGGAAAGATATGGGCATTGGGATTTTTTGCAGAGGCAGCTGAACGAGGCAAGGCTCATCTCCACGATTTTCCGCTGCCCTTTCTTTTCAACGACTTGCTTCAAGATGGATTGGCTGCACATCATGGACTTGGGCTGTGCCCAAGATTGCTTAGGAAACCTATTCTGGTATGTGCTTCCCAGACTGGGAAACAACCAGAAAGTTCAGGTGGCCACACTTTTTCTGGAGATAAAGAAATTCTATCGGGAGAATTCCATTCAGGATTGCATCGGCAAGCTAACCCTGGGAATGATCAAGAAACCCGACAAGTCAAAACCGAAGATGAACTTGAGAGCAGCAGAGACGAGGGCCATGATTCCGCAGCTTGCCTCATGAGAGAAGCATTCCTTTGTAGAAGCATATGTAGTAGGAGTTTGGAACATGTTGTGACTATGAAGTGCGATATTGACTCAAGGTTTGCATGGAAAATCGCAGACAAGATGCTGGACCCGCAGGATGTTTTCGAGTCGTCCATACGCTGGGTGATCAAGTATCTCGTGGACTGCTACGATTGCTTGTCAGCCTTGAAGTGGGAGCGAAATTACTTCAGAGAATGTTGCTTTGCCTTCCTACGTCAGTATTCGGTCTTGGAAACAATGGCCGACGAAGGCAAATGGGTCATGAAGCCCAAGTTTCACATGCTTGCAGAGATTGCTTTGAAAGGCGACAAACCCTCTGACAACTGGGTGTACAGGTACAGGGATGAAGAGGCAGGCGGAACCATGGCACGGGTGGCACATGCCAAAGGTGGCCCTGTCAACCAGTGGTCGATTTCTTTTCGGGCGCTGAACAAATTCAGTGCTGAGTTCTCGGTGCCACACTTCGACTGAGCCTGCCTGCACAGACAAAATTCTCGTCTGGAACCTAGAGCCATGTATTTCGCACTCGGTCGCCGAGCAAGCTTCGCATCCGTGCTTCGGAGAGGGAGGGAGGAGCGATCAGACTCATGCATGTGGGAGGGAGGGAGGACAAATGCATGAGCTTTATATACATCCATATATATATATATATATACACATATATACATAAGCGCTTGTTAAGCGCCTGTTAACTGCCTGTTGTGTTGCGCATAAACGCTTGTGCTTTTGACAAACCCTTAACTTAAGCGCTTGTTGAGTTAACTAAAAACCCTTGCAAGAGCATAATCCCCTTCTAAGCGTCTTTTGGAGGGTCAGGGTAGCGGTGTCGGCGGCCAGCTCTGTCTCCGGTCAGTTAGCGGCGGCGGCCTTGGCACCCTGGCCCGTAGCGTCCGGCTTGGACTGCTTGGTGGGACACTTGTTAGCGGGGTGCTTGCCGAAGCATAGCATGCACACATGCTTGAAATGGCACTTGTCGCCATTCTTGCACCCCTTAGCGTTGTAGCGGAAGCAGATTGGCTCCCCATCCGGGGTGCGATCCTGGCCTTCCTTGAGCTTCTTAGCGGTGCCTTTGCCCCCACGGCCCTTGCCGCTGCCCTTCTTAGCTTCTTGCCCGGCGGGCCGTCGTTAGCGCGCCACGGCTGGGGCCGCTTGGCAGCAAGGGCTAGCGGCGTGGTAAAGTGCCGCTCCTTAACGGAGGCCTCCTTCCACGCGTGGGTTAGCGCGGCACCAAAGCTGTGCCCAGCAGTTGCCATCACCTTGTAGGCGTGCTTGCGGATAGCGTGCTAGTAGCTGAGCACCAGGCTCCAGTCGGGCACTAGCGAGCCAGAGGCCTCGCTGGACCTCAAACCGTAGCAGTAGTCCCCCAGGAGGTACTCCTTGTAGCGCTCGAAAAGAGCCATAGTAACATCCGATAGCTCCTCGCGATTGGGATGCCTTAGCTGGATCATAATTAGCGCGTTCTGCAGAACGGTGAGGCGAAGCCTTAGCTGCTCGGGCCCAGAGGGCATAGCGATCTTGGAGCCTCCACGCTTGATGGATAGCGTGCCCTTGGCATCCCAGACCGGTAGCAGCGTATCGGGATCCACTTCGTCCCTGCTGATCACCTCTGATAGCGGCTCGGCACGGAACTCGCCGCTTTCGAGTTCGGCTAGCTTCTTCTCGATATATTCTTTAGCGGGGATGTGCTTGTCTTCAAGCTCCCCAAACTTAGCAGTGAAAGCCTGGCGCATAGCGATATAGTCGGTGTTCGGGATCGGCTTAGCGTGGTCCCGCACTTCGTTCATAGCCTCCGCCTCGGCTTGGTGCTCCACCCTAGCGGTGGCGGTCCGCCACGAGACCGTGACCCCAGCAGCCTGGGCCCGCATCTTTAGCGAGACATTGGGGTCAATAGCAAAACTGTTCTTTAGCATGCTCCGCAGGTCTGCTTCATCGGTAGCGGACGCCGCAAATTTAGCGACGGTATCGATACCGTTCACAAATAGCTCTGCTTGCACCTCATCCGACACCTTGTGGTGCACTAGCAGATAGCGCAGCTCCGACGACCCGAGGCCTAGCTTGCTAGCTAGGGCCTCGTCGCCGGCCATGCTGGAGAGCTTGCTAGCAAAAAGCAAAAAGAGAGAGCGATACTAGCGACCTAGGAAAATTATAAGCTGGAGGTCGTGACGTGTCATGCTAGCATTGCTTTGGGAGAACGGCTGTAGCGGGACGGTCGGGCTGTAGCTTTCAGCGGCCCCCGCCCCCGGCCACCCCCCCCCAATCCCAGCATGCACTCCTCGCTTGTCGGTCCTTCGGCATCCTTAAGAATTCCTAGCGGTCGCTCTCACTCTCTCTCTAGCGCTCCTCTTCTGTCTGGCTGCCGACATGTAGCAAACTGCAATTGGCATGTAGCAAGACAGCGTGTGCAGCTAGCGGCCCAAAGTAACAACCACGTGTAGCAGAGTCGGCCTTAGCTCCTTTTCCCGGGCGGATGGCAGATAGCGACGGGTCGGACCCGTTTAAATAGCGATGACCACACTTTAGCGGCGCCTCTCACGCTTGCACGCATCACACAAGTGATGGTCGTGGTCATCTAGCCGCCACCACATCCTGCGGTTGCAGGGGCGATAGCGGCACTCGGGGCACACTAGCGCGCACCTGAAGATGAGATTGATCTCATCCCAGTGCCCAATAGCGGTAGCAGGCCTGGTTTCACCAGGATAGAAATAGCAGCCGCGGGGCAAAAGGTCGCGGCATCCTGGAAGTCTTGATGTCCCTTAAAAAAACGTGCGTGCGCCCAAACAAATGTACCTTATTTTAAGGTGCGTTTCAAATGACCGTTAAAAATCACGGTTTTGCGCCTCCGCAAAAAGTTTTCGTTACAAAGTGGAAAAAACTACCGGTTTGGCCGTGTACAGAGAAATCCGACGTGCCGAGCACTCACAAAACGTTTTCGTTGCGAAGTGGACCAAAATATATTGGTTTCACGGTGTACAGTGAAATCTGACGTGCCGAGCATTGGAAAGTTTTCGTTGCAAAGTGGAATTCTAAATACCGGTTTCACCGTGTACAGTGAAATCTGACGTGCCGAGCATTCACAGAGGTTTTCGTTGTGAAGTGGAACTAAAATACTGGTTTCACCGTGTACAGTGAAATCTGACTTGCCGAGCATTTGAAAGTTTTCGTTGCAAAGTGGAATTTTGTATGCCGGTTTCACCGTGTACAGTGAATTCCGACGTGCAGAACAGTCACAAACATTTTCGTTGCAAAGAGCGGTTTCACCGTGTACCGGGAAATCACGGAACTCGACATGAACTGGGCTATTTGACCCTGTATACACCTGAATTGGTGATTTTGTGCGCTGTGATGAAAAAAACCTTAAACAAATCCTTAACTAATTATCCGTCTCATATAGCAACCCTACTAATCCTAAACCCCTGAAGCCGAGACGACTCACACAACATTTATAGGCAAACCCGACAACCACGAGCAACTCCAGAGCCTCCTCCAAAATCACCGCGAAAAAAAAAATAACCGTAGCGCAGGCAAAACAAGGCCTGAGCCTCAAAAGCCCTTGGCGAGGCACTTCGAGAACCCCTCGCTCTCTCTCGCTCTCTCTCTCTCTCTCTCTCTCTCTCTCTCTCTCTCTCTCTCTCTCTCTCTCTCTCTCTCTCTCTCTCTCTCTCTCTCTCTCGATCTCACTAGTGTTTCGGGGAAACGAACTTTTGCCAGGTCCGTGCTGTGCCCGGCACAGTGCACAAATCGAGACGTGTACCAAGCTTGTGCACGCGAGCCTCTCCGCAGATCGAGAAGTGTACCAAGCTTCCACTTGCAAAGCATTTGTGGGCTGCTCGTAAGTTTCCAGCCGTGCTTAACAAAACAAAGCACTACACCCCTAAAGCCCCAAACCCTAAAGCCCGAAGCCCCTAAAGCTCTAAAACCGTAGAATATTCTGGCATGCGCCCTTGCTAAAAATCGAGATGTGCCAAACTTTGAGCTTGCGTGGGTCTTAATTTCGGCAGATAAAGATCGCCATGGCATGGGCCGACGAGCAGGGCCCAAATTCTGCCATTTCAAAGGTGTGCCCTGCCCCAGCCGGAGTGTCTGAGTGATCCGTGACTGCATGCAAGGGTGAGATCAGCTGATTCATCGGTCAGTGCATGCATGGCAAGCTGCAAGCATTCGCTATTCGCCGCTATTCTTCCTGTTCGCAGCACTGAGTTTTCATGTATAGTTTGGGGTCTGGGGTATGAAGAAGCATGTGGCGAAAGTTCGTTTCGAGCCATGTGCTGAAGCTAAAGCTGTCGGGCTTGAGATTGCGAAGGAGGAGAGTCTTTCAAGAGCGGCTTTCCAAAATATTCGTGTTAGCACTTTGCGGGATCTGGTGGATTGCAGCACACGCAGGGCCGCTCGAAGACTGAGGTAGGTCTGGCTCTACTGGCTGACACGTCCGGGAAGTTATTGAATCAACGCAGGGCCTGCAGCAGGAAGGATGTCATCGGAAATCCCAGAGCATCTTGTATGTTTGGGCTTTGGTTTCTTGACTTCTGCAGAAATGTGCAAGTCTTGCCCTTGCGAAGCCTAGATTATTTCGGCAGCCGTGCGGGGAACACCGATTTCTCGCCGTCGTTTGAGTGCATATGTGTATATGGATGCCTTGCTGTATTACTTCAACAACAATGATGTTCTGCCGAGAGGGATAACGATCCTTACGCCAGCCGTTCGGGACTACGCATGCAAAGCCGGTTTGGCTGTGAGAAAGTTGGCTTCTTGGCTGTTGGGGTTCAGGAATTCTGCTTGATGTGGCTCATTTTTCTTGCCAGACAAGTGGCTAGACCTGCAGGTTTACCAAATTCAAGCACCTGACCCGCCGTGCTCAATCTTCGCGGAATGGGGAGCTTGCGAAATTGAAGCTGGAGCTACGGAAGTATCTGCCCAGCAATGACTGTGAAGAGTCTAGGCTAAACTTAACCGGCTCTGCTACAGCCCTGCTACAAACCTTTATCCTACTGAGAACTCAGGATGACAGCTCTTCTTCCAGCGAAGTCGATGACGAGCATGAGCAGTCTCAGCTGTCTTTGCTGACCGATAATGCCGAAGCTCCCGCTCCTTAGATCATGTTTCCGGTCGGTAGTTGTAGAAGGTGTGCGAGCTTTGTGCGGCAGTATATTAGCTGAGGATGTTCCTACCATCAAGCCCCCGAAACCGGGCGATCCACTGCCTAGCCGGCTCAAGCATCTTAGCTCCACATATGTACCTTATCAAATAAGATTCGAAATAACATCCCGTGAGGAGCATTGCTATGCGGATCAAGGGTGATGAAGAGGCTGCTCCAAAGCAGCCTGGGCCTTTATCGGCTCGTCTCCAGGGTCTTGCGGAAAAGCTCAAGGCTTCGAAGGGCTCTGCTTCGAGTTCTGTTTCCTCTGGCACCTCCACAGCTCTACCTGCCAGTGTCGCTTTGAGGAATAGCTTGACGGCTGTGTTGAGATTTGACC